CTGCATATCAACAGGTTTTAACCCAAACCATATGATCACCAAAGACTCATCGATATATATGCAACCACTATATATATACATGTTCCAGCAATTTTGATAGCAAGAATTCCTTGTTATTATTGCTCTCGTTCTATTTATGTTCCATTTTGTTGTGTCCTAATCTGATCAATTAGGTTGTTTCTGATCAGTGCTTTTCATTCCACTTTGTATCTGCATTTTCAACTCGAAATCAAAATATCTACCTATATATATGTGTGTGTGTGGTTTAAGACTTTAAGGTGATTCGAATATACGTAACGTAGCTAGGCTAGCTAGTGAAAGTGCCAGAAGGAAAAGGTTTGAACAGATGGTTTTTAATCATACGAAAAGATATAGAGAAAGAGTAAGAAGAAAATTAAACGAAACGTAACTAATAAACAGGATTTATTGTTAAATGATTTATTTGTCAAGTTATTTGTTCATAGATCATAATAAGTTAATAACACTATATAGTTTATGGGCTTTGGTTTTATTCTTATTTTTTGTTTTCAAACATTATTTTGCAAACCATTCGTTAAAAGTATTTTTTAAAAACAAAACAAGATCAAAATTATATATATTTGATTATGTTAGTATAAAAATAATTTTGTAATTAAAAAAAGGGTCCAACAATGGTGGTTGCCAATATATAATGATGATAGTAGTTGTCATGACTGAAGGTAATATATAATAGTTGACGTATAGTATTATGTTTTAAAAGTTAGAATAGAAAATAATTCTAAGATATTTCATTTTTTCAAATAAAATGAAAATAGTTTTGAATAACATTCAAATCCAAAACATTTACTCAAATAATTTTTTTATTTTTAAAAATAATTTTAAGAAAAACAGAAATCTAACAAGCCTTATATATTTGGCTTCAATTATTGAGATAATGATAATTTTTATCGTCCCATTAGCATACCTCTTATATATCTTAACATTAGTCAATGGGAAAATGACATATAAAAATATACTTTTTTTATTAAAAAATATAAGGTATTTTTAACTGAATCTCACCCCTCAATAAAATAGTTACCTATTTTCAAATTAATCATGTCTTCTTATATTTACTCCTGTTAAACACCCTACGGTAAATATAAAGTTATTATTAATAGGGGTACTGAAAAAAAATAATGATTACACTTCAAAAGACTAAAAATATTTTATATTTTTAAATATCTAACTCCTCAAAAAATATTTTATATTTTTGAACAGAAGGAGTATATAGCTATAAAGACAATTACTGCCACCAAGTTGACCTCTCTAAGTTTAAATTCAATTGAGGCTACTTATAAATACATTCAAATTAAATAATATGATCACTTAAGGACAATTATTAAATAGGCTTGCGTTTTTCACATTTATCACCTCTTATTGCGATTTCCCGAGTTTTTTAGGCTGCTTTGAATCTGTATTTTACTATTTTAGCAAATTTTGGTTTATATTGGTTGTGTTGATCTTTTTGTGACAACCTTGCTTTGGCATAGTGATGTTATTGGGAAAAATAAGAATATAAATAAAAAATTTCTTCCAACTATGATGTCCAAAAAAATTCTTGCAAGTAATTACTGACCTCTATATTTTTTTAAAGAAAATAAAAGGCTATGAAAAGAAATATATAAAAGGAGAGAATTAATTTTTGTCAATATTCATTGACCTTGTGCAACTTAAAGAGATAAGTGACATATAGTTTATTTTTTAATTAAACGATAAAAAGAAATCATAAATACAAGCCCTAATCAACCAAAACCCAACAACTAAGAGCAGGAAACAAACAAAAGTTCAAAATATCGTGAAAAAAAAAAAAAAACCTTAAAGACACAATGATGTGAAGACCAGTTGTTCTGTAAATCAAGAAGCTAGTCAAACAAACAAAGAAGACACAAACACAAGCTTACATTAAGATTTCAAGCAGATCTGCAAGCCACTAATTAACATGGCATGTGTTTCTTTTTTTTTACCCACTCACACAAAAAAGCTAATATTATTGTTATTTTTAACCATGTATGCAGTAGTTGATATTTGTTTATTAAAGAAATGTAGAAAAAATGCATGACCAGGTACGAGAGTTTGAAAATTGAGTAGAGGAAGACACTAGTTGTTTGGGCAGAGTACAGTATATATGGATGAGGCCTCGAATTGGATTGGTGCAAGAGAAGAAGAAAGAAACAAAACCAAACAGAGTACAACATGTGTCAGTTCTCCTTCAACCGAATCGTGCCGTACGATATATGTTCTACTCCATGTGTATCTGATCCATCCCCCACCGCCACATCATCAGCGCGTCTCTTCACTCCCCGGGCTGCGATCCCATCGCGTTTTATCACTCCTCACGCACACCATTCTCATTTATGAAGGGATTCATTGCCTCCTTTACCCCCAGATAGGACATTTTATGGAAATAGAAATGCTGCTTTTTTCAAAATATAAGATATTTTTTTTATTTTTTTTATAAATTATTTATATCAACTTTATTATTATTGATATTAAAAAATATAAAAAAATAAAATTATATAAAATTTTAAATATACTTTTATATAATAAATTTATAAAGTAACATCATATTACCTTTTTTCTCTCATAAAAATAATTATAAAAATATCTCTTAAATATTGCTTAAAAAGATATATACTGACTTATAAAACCTTAAAATATGCGATATAAATGAGATCTGAGAAAATATTATGTAAGCTTTATAATATTTTTTAATTATATATCTATTTTATATTATTATTTTTTAAATAAAATTATTATTATTATTAAAAAAGAACATGTGATGTTTAACGAGAGTATAATTAAAAGAATATAAACTTTTTAAGAAATTAAATTTTTATTTAACCTTTTTCTAAAATCATGAAGTAATTATTGATACCTTGAGGGAGTGAAATTAGGCCAGCCTCTGTTGAACTATATTGTGGTTCAAGTGAAGTATCTATTTGCTATTTTTGAGAAATTAATCATTTGGGCACTATATTTTTTATTTGATTGTCAGCCAATCTCTATATTTTTTACTTCATTACAATTTAATTCCTGAATTTCATCTCGCTGCAACTCATTTTCTTTAGTTTTAGTGATTTAAAACACTAGTATTTAAATTTCAAGTGCTTTAGTTCTTATTATTTTTTTAAATGAAAACTAATATTTTAAATAATCAAAATTATATGTATTGGGTTGCACTAAGTTTGAGTTCAAAAATTAAGTTGAAATTAAGTCAAAATTATAAGGACTATATTACAATAAATCAAAATTCAAGAATTCATTAATAGCCAAGTTAAAATTAGAGAAACTAAATTATTAATTTTCTTATTTTTATTCATTATTGATTATTAGTCATTTACTATTTGCTTATCTGCATATAATAAGTTAGTAACTATATTTTCTTATTTAAAATATTTATTTAACATTTAATTTTAAATCTGGCTGTATATGAATGTGAAAATCTTAATTTTGCCGTTCTCCATAAATATATTATAGTAATTAAAAATAAACTTACTTCATTTAGAAATCTGCAAGGACAAAATAAAAATCCCAACCACAATCATTATTAATTTAAATGCAAAAAAATTAAATTTAGAATGTTTTTCCCTTGAATTTCTTTGTATTAAATATATTGAATATATGAATAACTTGATTTTAAAAACCACATAAAACAAGCATTAATAAGGGTGAGGGGGTAGGAAGGATGGTGGATATATGTGATGTCAAGATTCAGGCATGTACTGGCTATGTAAGAGTTAATTACATCAACATTGCCAACCTAAAATAAATTCAGGTTTAAATAACCTAATAAAATATGTAACATTTATAATGGATTAACCTATTGATTATTCATGAATAATCTTAGCTCATTTAATGCATAATGCCCACTGACTTTTATTAAGTTCTTGTTATTTAATTTGGATTGAACTATTTGAATTTGAAGTAGACATAAAAAAAAAAGAAAAAGAAATAGTCACCTATATAAATATATTATACAGAACGCACTATCCATCTCATCAAAATAAAAAAAAGATGACTAAGTTACTAATTTTATATAAAAATAGAATAAAATTCTAATTTTATATCTATTAAATGAGAAAATTTTAAATTTATATTACATTATTTTTAATAGTTAATAAATTTAAATAGAGATAATATTAAAAAATATAATGAATATTTACTATTAAATCTAATGTCTTGTAATAAGAATTAAGAGATCTTTTTAGAAGGCATCCTATAATAAAAACACAATGAAGTATATATATGATATTAATTTATATTATTATTTAATATAATTAAGTACATGTTAGCTTATCTAGTGCTCTTTAAATTGAGTTTCAAATACACAATTTTGTTAAACATACGTTGAAAAAGATTTGTTATCTTTACGATTCTTTTTCTATGTCAATTGAATTAGTCAAAATTCAATATAATTTTTGATAAATTTGATACCAAAATACAGTATGACTATTGTTGGATAAATTCAAGCGTTATCCTGAACTTGCAAATTCATGATACAAAACATTGATAAGTTCTAAAAAAAATTAAAATTAAAATTAAATTTTTAAAAATTATATATCTTTTCAATTATATTTTTATTAAATAAACTACGTAAATGCTTTCATAATCATAGTAGAAATTACCAAATTATTTAAAAAAATAAAACAAAAGGTAAATCTAAGAAAATAATTATAAAACTATCAAATGATTTAAATTTTATTTGTTAAGGGATGTTTATTTTTTAATGTTAGACTGGACATGAAGATATCTATACCCAGTAAAAAAAAAATGTCCAGTATGGCGTACTAAGGAAATAATAATGTTACAAGTCTCAGAATTATTTTTCTTATTTTAAATACTGATATTATTATTATTATTTTATTTGGATTAAATTAGTAGTTTTGTACTCCTACTATCTCTCTCCCTCTGTTTTTTTCCCTTTTATAACCGATGATTTGCTTTGATTCGATAATCTCTTCCCTCTCTCTCATCTCTTCCCTCGGTTCTCTATAAAAACGCCGAACCAAATACAAACAACGCCAAAGCGTCTTTCTACTTTCTATCACCAACCTGTGTCATTCTTCTTCTTCACTGCTCTGAAAGCTGCAAATGGACAAACCCGACACCGAGCCCTGGAGGCCCGACCCGTTTCATTCCGTCATGTTCAGGCCGCCGGAGACCCCGCGTGAGCCCATGGAGTTCCTCTCTCGTTCATGGAGCGTCTCTGCTCTTGAAGTTTCCAAAGCTCTCTCCCCAGCTCAGCTCTCGCTTTCCAAGCCCCCTAGTGGAGGTTTTCCCGGCGTTGGCGCTCACGGCGGTCCCATTCTCGAAGACATCGCCGGCGAAATCGAAGAGAATGCCACCGTTTCTGGCAACCCATTCTCTTTTGCTTCCTCTGAGACTTCGCAGATGGTCATGGAGCGAATTATGTCACAGTCGGTGAGTGAGCTTGGTGGAGCAGAGCATGTATGTACAGTCAAATCACGGCATTCTTTGTTTTGTTCTTGTTTTGTTTTTCGATTTTTCTCCTTCCTGAAGATGGAAACGTCTCTGATGGATTTATGTGACTGTTTTTTCTTCGCCCATCTGTGCTTTTGTTTTTTCCTTCTGGTTCTTGTTAGCCACTCCTGTCTTTCATTCACACTTCCAGAAACTGATTTTGGTTTCTAGCTATATTTGTCTTGTTCTCAAACTCCAATCAAATCCTTTCTTCCTTTCTTCCCTGTTTCTCACATTCCTTGTGCATCAATCCTCTCAGATTCCTGTGTTTTCCATTCCCAGGTAATCTTCTTCTTCTTCACGGAAGTATATCACAATCACTCTGGTTCTTTCAGTTTCTTACTTACTCTTTCCTCACATTTCTTGTGCATCGATTCTTTCAGTTTCACATTCCAATTTTCCGTTCTGTATCCTCCTCACACGAGTATTTCATGATTTTATCGCACAACCAGTAACAGAAGCACAATCATTCCTCTTCTCCCCCCCCCGGCCCTCTCTCACTCTTTTTTCATTATCTCAACGGGTTTGGTTACAACAATCAATGGCTCTTTTTTCATTCACAAACAATATATAACTGACGCAATTATTGCTTTCACCCGCGCAGCAGGAGGTATCTCCACGCACTTCAGGCAGGCTCTCTCACAGTAGTGGCCCTCTCAACGGAACACAGAGCTGTGGCTCCTTAACCGATAGTCCTCCTGTGTCTCCCTCTGAGATCGACGATGTCAAGGTATGTATATGTGTCCCTTTTTTTGTCGTACCATTTTTTCAAAAATGGAGTCCTATACGATTATACTCCTATTAGATCCATCATGACGCTTTAATTTATTCGCGTTTTAATAATTATATTTCCCTGTCTCGTACACGTATTATTACCGCTTTCCACCTTGCCGGTGGACTCCGGGCCGGAATCTGACATCCACCTAATCCGACAGCCATGTTTGCCGCTGCTGTTTTTTTAACTTTTGTTGTGGTACGAAAAACGATTACTGGTCTCTCTGCTGCCAACTTAGAACCGAGCATATAGTTCAGCTTTCACTATAACCAACGCTCTTTAATGATATACCCAGAGAGAGAAATAGCCTGCACTCGTGGTGGGGGTGGTTCTTCTCGTTACTTTCTTCAATGCCTTAATTAATTCCACTCATTTTCCTTCTTCCCATGAGACACTTGTTCTGACTAACCCATTTATTTATGTATGATTAGATTAACCCTCCCGTGATATGCTAGTAAGTCGGCTGAACGAAAACGAAAACTTACTGTAAAAGATAAGAATATTTCTTTATATTTGTCTATTTTTACTCTCAGACTTTTATTTTTAGCTTTATTTGTTGTTTCTCTCATTGTTCGAGTTCGACCCCATGAGTTTCGTTTGGATTGGTTAGAATATATCATCACATAGGACTGTCCTGCTAGTTCGAAATTCGTCTCTATTACGATTGCAATAATGGCCGATGGACCCAAGAAGCACGAGGTGGTTGCTTGTATTGGGATTTCTCTTATCTTGAGTTTTCAACTGTTATTTCCTTTCTCGTTCATGATGTGTCTCTTGAGAGAAACAAGAAGATCATATACGCAGATTCTGGACATGGTTTTTGTTGTTCCGTTTCCAGAGCTTGTTTGTTGTTAATGGACCCCGCCAATTCCTTTCTTCTGCAGTATAACCGCCCCACCAACAACAGCAGCTTGAATACTCAATTCCGGCCGACCACCGTCGCCGGAGGTACTGTTGCCGCGGCCGGAGGCGGGGGGAAGACGGTCGGGAGGTGGCTCAAGGATAGGAAGGAGAAGAAAAAAGAGGAGACCAGGGCCCACAATGCTCAGCTTCACGCGGCCGTCTCTGTTGCCGGGGTTGCGGCCGCCGTCGCGGCCATCGCTGCCGCCACTGCGGCGTCCTCTGGAGCTGGTAAAGACGAGCAGATGGCAAAAACTGACATGGCGGTTGCCTCGGCGGCGACCTTGGTCGCTGCACAGTGCGTCGAGGCAGCAGAAGCCATGGGTGCTGAGCGTGAGCACCTTCAATCGGTTGTCGGCTCCGCCGTGAATGTGAGATCCGCCGGAGACATCATGACATTAACTGCTGCAGCAGCTACAGGTATGAAAATAATTGATTAATCACTTCCTTCTTTCCCAATAATATCCTTGAAAATGTACGATTGAATTTCAATCTTAAATCTTTAGATATATTAAAGTTAAAATTAGAATACCACTATACATTCTTCTGAGCATCACATATTCTATACTTCTTCCACGAATTGAAATGGTACAAAATTGTTTCAAAGCATTAAAATTGACAATGACTCTCTTTGGGGAGGACCAAAATATGATTTGATCTTTGTGGTACTGACTCGTTGCTGATGAGGCCAATCTTGGGCTTGTTACTTTGAATTGGCAGCTTTACGTGGGGCAGCCACATTGAAAGCAAGGGCCCTCAAGGAAGTTTGGAATATTGCAGCAGTAATTCCTGTGGAGAAAGGCATGGGAGCTAGTGGCAATGGAAGCAACGGCAATTCAAACAGCAGCTTTAGTGGCGAATTAGCCCCGGAAGAAAATTTCTTAGGCATCTGTAGCAGAGAATTACTTGCCAGAGGCTGTGAACTCCTTAAACGAACTCGCAAAGGTATGATATGAATAACATAGGACAAGGACAAGATTATAGCTTATGAAGGGATGTAGCCTAATGTTTCTGTTGAGATTTGGATGTACATGGTGGTTAGTGATTTGGGTTTTGTTTTTGTGGTTTCATTTGACAATTTGCAGGTGATCTTCATTGGAAAATTGTATCAGTTTACATAAACAGGATGAACCAGGTGTGACTTTTATTCCATCTGTTTTAGATCTTAGGATAACGTCCTTTGTTGGATACTAGACAATGATGAATGACCAATCAGTGGATAATTATTTGGGGATCTTCAATTAGGAGCGATGGTTAATGATGAGTTTGAACCTCATCATGGAAAAAGCTAGCAAGTGTGGGCTTCTCTTATTAGCAGAATGATGATGTGTTAAGATTGGATCTTTACTTTAGTTTCTTAGAAATCTTCATTCTTTAACTCTTTTGAAGCCTCTTTTTGTGCAGGTTATGCTGAAGATGAAGAGTAGACATGTTGCTGGGACCATCACTAAAAAGAAAAAGAGTGAGTCTCTTTAGTCTTTAGTGTGTCTCTTTGATTGCTTTTGTCTTTCTCTAATAATTATTTTAGTAACAGATTTGGAGGTGGGTCTTCTTCCATTTAGGGATTTGTGAAAGCTCTGATCACTAAAATATCAAAAGATTAAAGCCGTCATCTTTAATTCCTCACCCTCTTTTTTTGAATTTTCAAAGATGCAGTGCTAGAACTCACTCACATCCCGATGGGGACCGAGAAATTCCTCACCCTTTCCTTTTTATTTTGAATTCTGCAGATGTGGTATTGGAAGTGATAAAGGATATGCCAGCCTGGCCCGGCAGGCACCTACTCGAAGGTGGTGAGAACCGGCGCTACTTCGGGCTGAAGACAGTGATGCGAGGCGTAGTCGAATTTGAATGCAAAAATCAAAGGGAGTATGATGTGTGGACTCAGGGAGTCTCAAGGCTTCTCTCCATTGCTGCTGAAAGGAACAATAAGAACAGAATATGAACTTTTCTTCTGAAGGAGGAAAAATGGTAATTTTTTTGCAGAAATTGGAGGGATATAGGATCCCTCCATGGTGGGGTTCTGTTCACTGTAAAAAGGGTTAGAGGGGGAAAAAAGAAAAAGAAAAAAAAAAACTAAAGGCATAGATAGCTATATGGTCTTAAGATGGGGTCTTCTTTCTTCAATATTTTGCGGAACATACAATATGATGATGATGATGGGGTTTTTGGCTATTGTGTGTTATATTTTATTGTGAAATGGGATAAAAATTTTAAAAAGTAAAGTGTATTTGAACCAAAGTGAAGAACACAAGCATGTGAACTTAAGGGATGGTCTTCATTCTTTCACTGTTGTGGAAAGGAAAAGGGTATCTTGTACTGGGGTAGTCAAAAAGAGAAAAAGGAAGAATTCCCCATTTAGTCTTTTTAAAGTATTAATTAATACTTTGAAGATAAAGACGCACACAAGAGCCTGATCCTATGAAGCATTTTGTGTGATACCATGTGGGTTCTAGTGGTTGTTGTTTAATGTTATTGTTTATGATCTAGTACTACTGCTACTGGAGGAGCTATCATTGTTTTGGACTATGATCTTCCCTAGTTTATTATATATAATCTGACGTTGTCTCTTTGAGCAAGTGCTTCACAGATTGGGGAGGTTTTATTTTGTTTTTTTAAATTCTTTCAAGAGGATTAAGAAAATTAGATCGGGAGCTGGAGAATGTTCCCTAAATATACTTATTCTAATTAGGATACTATTTGTTGATGGGAATTGAAGCAATGTTACCAGACATGGGATAATAAATAATTAATAAAACATAAGGCCTTTGTATCAATAACAAAATGTAAAAAGAATGCCTATTTATTACTTGAATTGAACTCTTAAAAAAATTTATTTGCAACTTAAAATTTATAATTTTATGTTCATTTTTTCGATGATCTTTAATTGTCATTCTTCCTAGATAAAAAAATCACCATCAATATACTTTGGAGAATGTGACAGTTAAGTCTTTTTTTAAAAAAATTAATGATAGTTAAGTTCATAAAATTTTCTGAAAAATAATTTATAAATATTAATTTAGATAATTATAAATTTAAAAATTTTAATTTTAAATAAGATATCTAAATTTTTAGTTTACAATTGAAAGTATGTAAATCAATATTTATAATTTATTTTTTGAGACTTAATTTTCATTGATCCCTTTTTGGAATTTTATTGTCATTCTTCTAGACTTGAGTTTTGTATTCCATTTTCTTTTTTGGCTTCTCTCTCTTTTTTTTTTGGGTGGGGGACTATATTTGAAGTTATAGATTTTATAAATTTTCCAGATTCTTTAACTTAAAAGGTTTGCAGTGTTGTTTGAAAGCACGTAAAATTGGATCTCCTTAATGGTGCAACCTTTTTCTTGGACAAATCTTGATTCTCAGAGAAGATCCAAATTCACAGAACTGTAATCTACAGGGGAAAAAACAAGGCAGAACAGGAAGAAACAGTGCCTTGAAATTCAAAAGATGAAATGAAACAGGAGATTTATGGCTTTATGATTCTGAATCAACTTTAAAGGCACAGTATAAAAATGATTGTTAATATTAACAATTTGGAGGCACAAATTGTTGATTGTTCAATTCGCAGACTGAGATGGCTGGGATCCACCCAGCTTTTCAAGTATTGAGGTTCAAGCCTTTTGTTGAATCCGTGGACAGCAATTTATGTACGATTCCCGGTTTGCCTATTGGAATATATATACATATATATATATCGTATATCATAATGCTTGCACATTCCCCAATCATACATACGACACATGTAGTTGCCTTTCTTTTAATCCAAGCCTGTCGCTTTACAGTTTAATTTTGATCTCGACACAGTTTAGACAACGACAGATGAGCTCTGTATTAGCTTTACGGTCTTTAATGAAACAGCTTAGAACATGTTGTCAAATTTTTTAAAAAACACGTCTAGTATTTGTTTCTTATAAATGAGTTCATACATAGTAGAGTTTATAATATGAGTTAATTGGAACCATATAGGTTGACCCATGAGTTGAATTGGGTTAAATCTATTTTTTATATGAAGTAAAAAAAATCTCAATCCAACCCAATACAATTTTTATAGGTTGGTGGTTAAATAGATTAATTCACCAATATATTTAATTTTTTTGTAAATTCTCAAAAAACAAATGTATGAGATTGATCCATTATATCATGATTCATTTCAAATATATTAGGGGATTGTAGTGCTAAAATAATATAGATTAAATGGGCTAATCTTAACTCATTAGGGCCAGCCCATTTGATTCATAGGTCATCTGGTTGAGCAAAAAAAGAGCTATTTTTTATTTGGATAATTTTTTTTCAACACAACTTGACTCTCATAATAAGTTATTGGGCCCAACTCATATATACTCATCTATATTTCTAGCTCTAGTTGGTAGTAGTAAAATACAATCTTATGAAATGCTAAATCCTACTCAATTTAAAATTTGATCCAAAGTAGAGCCGAAAAATTGGAAAGAAGCCTATACCTTTTCCTTGTACTGAACACACTCACATGGACCCATAGGACGGACTCTTAACTTTTCTCCATTCTTTGGGCCTGATCCAAAGTACTTTTGATCCACCCCAATTCTGGCCCAAAGTGTCTTATTTGGGCCCAGTAATTCTCTCCACAGCCGATCGTCTCTGCCCGGCAAATGTTTCTCCTGTCTTCAGTGATTTTGGTGGATGAAATGAAATAAATAAGCTCCATAGCTAAACTGATTTGGTTTTTGCTGACAAGGAACTGGACTGAACTCCCACTAGACGAGACGGCATGGAGGCTTTATTATAGGCTTCCGCAAGTAGTTTGAGGTGTGCTCTTTATTTTGCCCCTTTTTTTCTGGTTACCAACCGGGGTCATTCCGTTCGGCGAGCCGTCGCCACCGTCAAGGCCACTGTCGCCGTTTATCGAGCCTCCTATTGTCAAGCACGTCGTCTCCTTCAAGGTATTGTATTTGATTTCCTATTAATTGGTCTGGCTTCTCGTAGTAGGATTACTTTAAGGGTAATTTACTGGAGTGGATTAGACTTCGGTCATGTGGAAGTTAATGGATTTAATATGAACTCATCCTTTTTACAGCATTTCGCAACACAGGTCTCCATCTTTGGATCCAAGCTGAGATTTTCCATGGCGGTGCAACAGTAGGAGTAGGAGCCCTCCTTCTTCACTGAATCAATTTGATTCTGATTGTTGCGTATTGATTTCATTGATCCGTTTCGAAGTTCGAAGAGTTCTCGGATTCTTGCTGTCTTTCCTAATTTCTCGGCTACCAAACGGATTATCGAAGTTCGTTTGCATTTTATCGAAGGCGTTGATTTTGCATTCCTCCATCCATGGAAACCACTGAGAACTCAGAATCCTCCGTTCCCTACGTAACAACTTTCATCCCATTTTCCTTGAATTGGTGACTTTTATTTCATGTTATATGCTAATACGTAGCCCTCCGTGGTACTGAATTTATGATGATGTATTGTTTGGTGGTTTGGAGTGTGTTTACGTAGGATTTAGAGAGCCGTAGAAGTTCCTTTTTATCAAATTTTTTGATAGTGATAACTGCATTGACATTTTTGATGGAACAATCTATTTCGGGCTTATAAGACCCATGGAGTTGGAGTTGGAGTATTACCCTCGTTAAATTCCTTGGTGACTTGGAGAATTTTAACTTCACAAACAACAAACAACAGCAACAACAAGCTTTTATCCCATTAGGTGGGGTCGACTACATGGATTGCAAGACATCATTATGCTCTATCATTTATCAAGCTTTTAGGAATATTATTAATTAAGAGATCGCGTTCAATAACTTCCAAGAGTGTTTTCTTAGGCCTTTCTCTACCTCTCTTAATCGGACTCAAAGTTATATGTTTCACTCTTCTCACTGGTGCCTCCCTTGATTTTCTTTGTACATGCCCAAACCATCTCAACCGATTTTCTACCATTTTTTCCTCAATAAGTGCTACCCTCACTTTTTCGCGTACATGCTTATTTCGAATTTTATCTTTACGTGTATGTCCGCACATCCATCGTAACATTCTCATCTCTGCTACTCTAACTTTATGCTCTTGCTGTCCCGTTAGAGCCCAGCATTCACTACTATATAACATTGCCGGTCTGATAGCAGTGCGATAAAACTTTCCTTTAAGTTTATTAGGCATCTTACGGTCGCAAATAACTCCTTTAGCTTTTCTCCTATTAAACCACCCAGCTTGAATTCTATGTGAAATATCTCCACTGATTTCACCATCATTTTGAATAATGGCTCCCAAATATCTAAACTTTTTCACTTGAGGTATAATTTGGTCTCCCAATTTCACTTCCAAATTATTGTCGAATAGTCCTTTACTAAATTTACAATATAAATATTCCATTTTACTTCTATTCAGACGAAAACCTTTCGACTCCAATGTCTTCCTCCATAACTCAAGTTTGCAATTAACCTCTTCTCTTGTCTCTGCTATAAGAACTATATCATCCGCGAAGAGCATACATTTCGGAATTTTCCCTTGAATATGTTCCGTCAAAACATTTAAGATCAAGTTGAACAAATAAGGACTCAGAGATGATCCCTGATGTAGTCCAATTTTTATAGGAAAATCCTTTGTTTGACCACTAGGCGTTCTTATACTAGTTTTTACCCCCTCATACATATCTTGTATGGTTTTAATATAAGCAATCTGTACTCCCTTTTTTTCTAACGCTTTCCAAAGCACTTTTCTTGGTATACGGTTATAAGCTTTTTCCAAATCAATAAAAACCATGTGTAGATCTTTATCTTTACAACGATACTTTTCCATTAATCTCCTTAGTAGATAAATCGCCTCTGTGGTTGATCTACCTGGCATAAAACCAAACTGATTCTCAGAAATACTTGTCTCCAATCTCAACCTGTGTTCAATTACTTTCTCCCACGATTTCATTATGTGGCTCATGAGTTTAATTCCTCTATAGTTAGTACAATTCTGAATATCTCCTTTATTTTTATAAATAGGAATTAATGTACTTCTCCTCCACTCATCAGGCATTTTCTTGGACCGTAAAATCACATTAAATAACTTAGTTAACCATCTCACCCCTTCTTCACCTAAACATTTTCACGCTTCGATAGATATACAATCAGGTCCGTTGTCTCTACCATTTGCCATTTTCTTAAGAGCTTCCTTTACCTTCTTATCACGTATTATTCAATAGAATGACAAATTTTGTTCTCCTTCACCAGTTACTAAATCCTCCAAGTTACTAGATGAACCCTCTCCATCATTGAAAAGTTTAGAAAAGTAAGTCTCCCATCTATTTTTAATTTCATCATTTGTAACTAAAGTTCTTCTCCTTTCATCCTTAATACACCTTACCTGTTCTAGATCTCTTAATTTTCTTTCCCTACTCTTGGCAATCTTATAAATATTTCGCTCTCCTTCCTTCGTCTCAAGGCTCTTATAAAATTCTTCAAAAGCTTTAGAATGAGCTTCACCTACAGCTCTCTTAGTTTCCTTCTTAGCCATACGGTGCCTCTCCCAATTTTTCTCATTGTTACACAAATGTATGGCTTTAAAACAGTTCTTCTTATACTTGATTTTGTTCTGTACACTATTATTCCA